AAATAAAAGGTAGAATTTGTTCTTTAAAGTTCAAGTTGGTGGTCACAGTCTGGTGGAGGATGATAAATCAAGAGCTGTTCCACCAGGAATCTTGGTAAATATCTGACAAGTATAATATAGTACTCCATGTCCTTAAGACATGAAAGAAGAACAAACATTTTTTTTTTTTTTTTTGCAGGATGATGAAGCAAAAGTTGAAAACTATGCATCAGTCCACAAATGGGTTAGAAGAGTTAATGAGAAGAAGGAGCAGCCACAAGAATGTGTTTACTCTGCTGTCAGAACCACTAACTGCCATACCAAACTCTCTTCACTTTAATTGTTATACGATGCATAACTGTGTAACTTTTTTCGTGGAATAAGTTGATTAGATATATTTCACAGCCAAATCCAAATTACATGAATGTGAAAAAATCCGCAAACTGCAAAATGTTATTTAAGCTGGAATGTATTATTTGTTTGTTTATTCATTTGGTAGTACCTGTATGTTGTAACAAAAACAAAAGCAGTTCTGGTTTCTAATTGATTACACTACGTTTCTTTTTTTTTTTTTTTTATAAATAAACATAATTGTAAATTTTGTTGACAAATTGTAATATAATAAGGGGTGAACTTAGAAATAAGTTTGAGGAATCTGCTGGGGTTTTTGTTTAGCATTCTCACTGAAAAAAAATGATAAAAACAATAAATGTTGAGCTTAATCCTCACAAGGGTTTTTATTTTAAATGGCTTCTATGAGCTCTACTGTGATCCAGCTGTTTTTTCTCTAATAACATATAGTAAAACATTTCATTATATTACAGAAAGACATTGTGTTAAGGTACAACTGTAACAGGCTGAATATTGCATGCTATATTCACAATACATCTACAAGTTATTCAAAAATTGGAATTTGGGGGTTTTTGTTGCATAAAGTTGCTGATGAAAATAAATGATGATTAATAAATCAAACAATAGACCAGAATATTAGTAGACCAGTACTGGAGGTGGACAGTGTCATTCGTTAAGTAACTCTGTATGGTAGAAAAACTTAAGTCAACTGACAATCATAAAACTGACAAAAAAAAAAGAGTAATGCAATGATATTAAAACAGGGTTAAAATGATGCAAATGTCTGGTCTTGGTCAGTACATGAGCAGCAAGTCAAGGTTGGGCATATTTTTCTTAAGGACACCAAAAGGCTTGGCATTGCAATCTTATTAACAGCTCATAGAATGCATCACAATCCAATTCCTCCTCCAAGTCCTTCAGCAAACTCCTGCTTTGACAAAGCATTCAATAGGCCAATATTTTAAAATAGAAATGAGAGTCATAGAAAAATTCATATGTTCCTGATTTGCTTAGAAACATCTGAAGAACAATGATAACTATCAAATGAAATGGGCTCCAGAAATTTATATCTATAAATCTTGATCATTCTCATGAGCAGCCTGAAGCAGCCATACCAAAAATACATGTTTTGTTATTACACATACACATGGATGGAAAATCAATTCTCAGGCCAGCATAAAAATAATCCGTCCTTTAATAAAGTTATAGTGAAACCTAACCAACAAGGTGCAGCATACCAGTTAAAAAGAGCCCTCGATGACACGAATAGTTAGCTTTATTGGTGTGTAAGAAACACTTATCAAAGCTTACCATTTTCTACATGCAAGACAGGAGCTATCCAGATAAAAGCATTTCCAAACAGGGAAACCAAGCTTTTCAAAAGATTAAAAAGAATTTGTGTATTAAAGACTTCATTAGACCTAACTGATAGCTTGTGTAAGGCTGAGGATACACTGTACAATTTTTGCCCTTTTCAGTCCGATTCTCCAGTCCTGCAAGATTTTTTTTGATCAGGCTGAGTTTCAGCCTCATGATGTGTCCTGCGTAGTGTAGTATACAGGAAGTAACAAGGGGCGATAGCCTTATACGACCACCTCCTGATAAGGGGTCATAAGGTCAGGAGAAAATCAAACATGTATGAAATTCAGTCAGACCTTGTTAGTTAGTATCTATGAGCCGATCTACCAAAACCTCAGGAACCTCAGGTTCTACTTCTTCCAGTTAGATGTGTCTGACTTAGCGCTATTTCTCGAGCTGAGTTCGACGTGTGGTTTTTTTGGATGTACAGTGTGAGAAGTTAGATTGCATCAAAGCATCAGGCTGTACAGTGTAAGAACTTAGACCATTTTTATTTTCATTGAAATTTCGTTTTGTACAGCTTTCAGACAGTAAAGGAGCAGCAGCTTAGTAGTGAAAGGAACATTTTACCAGCCAAGATTAATGTAAACAGTGTGGGAGAAATAAAACATTGTGCAAAACGCATTGATATGGACGTGCAGAGTAGAGGCCTGTGCAGGACAGAAGTCCTGCACCCGCCCGCTTCTGCAGTGTTCAGTCCCGCTCCTGCAAAAAATAATGATTTTCAGTCCTGCTCCCGCCCGTACCTGTAATTCCAGCATGATTCCGACGTTCGCCTACTGCTCAAGGCAATTCATGTCATTAGTTTGAGGAATCAAAAACGCTGTGCTTAGCTGAGCACATTACTGGCCGATTCTTCACCGCATAGTGCATGACGCACGTTAGGTGGCACGAGCTGCAATATCCAGCACATTCTGATGTATATATATGATAGACATATATTGATAATTTATTACTTTATTTTACATTTTATTTTACATCTTAAAACACGTTTTTAGTTTGCAGGACTGCCACTTATCACCACTCCCGCCCGCACTGTGCGCTCTCCCTCCCGCCTGCACCTGCAATGAGCTTTCAATATTTGTCCCGCGCCACACTGCCTTGATTTCGAGTTTTTTCAGCAGTTCAGCAGTCTGATGGCTGTGGGGAAAAAGCTGTTGCAGAATCTGCAGGCCCTGCAGCGGACTTCTGTTCCCTTTAACATATATTGTGAGTTGTGAACTTTTAAACCCTGAAATTTCATCATACAGTTTGAGTTGAAGCAGAGTACAACGGATGAAAATATTGAACTGTGTATGCCCGGCTTAAGCCAGCAGGTGAGACATTCCCTCTGAAGGAGCGATATACAATTATTCAAATTTCTTGCTTTAAAGCTACAGTGTGTAATTTTCAGCGACATCTAACGTCCAGACTGCAGACCGCAGCAACATGAACATCTCCCCCCCACTGCTTCTCCCCCCCAACAGTACGGCGAGCGTTACGGGACAAAATGTCTTCCACGACGTCCGCATCACCTACCTTCTCAAGTGATGAGGTTTGTTTACATAGATAATTTTACAGATAGTATTTCATTAGTCTGTGTATGGTATAGATTTCAGTACCGTCTCAGTTCATCTCTCTCAACTTGCCGTAGTTACTTTTGAGCGTAATGGGCAATCTCGCATTCGCTAGTTTGTTGGCTCTGCGCTGCCGTAGCGCAAAGATGCCTGCCTCCATGGCTGCGAGACCCGCTCCTATGTAATTATAAATAACGAATTCTAAGGCAACGCAAATATTAAGGTTAAGAGGCTGAGCTCGTAGATGATGATAAATAACATAGTTATGTATAATATATTACATTTCTGACTGTATATCCCTGTAATTATTACACACTGTAGCTTTAAGAACAAATACAAAGATTTCAAAACTGATGATGTGGAAAAAAAATCAGGATGAATCAGGTTATCAATATTGAAAAAGGGGGTTATTTTGGGTTTGTTTTAATCATTATTAGATATTTAATGTTTGTTTGTTTTTCTTTTCTGCCTTCTTGTAAGTTCTTTACAGTTCCTTTATGTGTCTATTTTCGATGGAAAGGCTTTGTCCATAAAAAATGTTTTTATTCAAATGCAGATTCATAATTTGTTTTCACATTTTTTTGAAGAATGAATATAACATGAAATCATAGAAAGGATTTAACATACCAGGGAACCTTTAGTGAAAACCTTTAATCAGAGGTGGGTAGTAACTTGTTGCATTTACTCTGTTACATTTACTTGAATACTTGAATCAAAGCAAGGAGCTGGTTAATCACTGCTGAGAACAAACTCTTTAAATTGTTCAGATCCCTGCTGTTACCATCAGCTTTCCCATTTTTCTATTTAATTTGTTGCTGCTTTCTTGATTGACAAATAAATGTGTGCATTTTGTTTTCTTTCAAATTGCCTTTTTAGGCTGCACAGTAATTTTAATCTGAGTACTATTTTTGAATACCTGTTTAGTAATTTTCTTCCACTCTAAATGTTTACCTTGTTTGAGTGTCCCACTGTAGGACAATAGATAATTATTCTGTTCTGTTTTATTCAAATCTTTGCTTTACCTCAGGATTGTAAAATCACTGTCATCATCATTTATTTATGACTCAATAAATAATATGATGTACTGTGGCTTTTAGAACTTGTTTTGATTTACTTATTTGCATGTGTTTCCTTTTATCTTTTTCATTAATTATACTCTGGATCATTTTAAAAAACTGATTAATTGTTGATTGTTTAATCCGGTATTCACAAGTTTTTAAAGACAACACAACAAAAGAAGACCAAACTGCAGTGTTACACTGTATTAGAATAAGATTCCTGTTTAACGACGTTGGTGTTGTTTTTGCTGTGATCCTTGTATCTGTGCACAAGGTTGTCTCTGAACTTAAAATATTTACCTCATACTTTTTTTCTTATGATACACAAACACAGTTATTTTTACAGTGCGTAGCAAACCAGATGTACAGTTTTTCATTAATCAAAAAGTCATAGAAAGTCAAGCATCAGTCTAATATAACTTTTATTTTCACAAACATTTGAAAAATACAATAAGACCCAATATTACAATAAAATTCAAACAATTGTAAAATATATACAAACTATCCATACATATACATACATTTTAAATTCACCTTACTTAGTTGGTTTTATTATGCTTCTTTTCAGTAACTATAATAGTTTTTTTCTTCTGCTGTAAGCTTTTTCCCTCACTTGCTACTGGAAAGAAGATTCCCCACAGTGAGAAAATTAAAAAGATAATGAAGTGGTGATCCAAAGTTTGTTTCTTTTTGCTTCTTAGTTTCCATCAAATGCTCTGACATCACTGTAGATGGTATCTTCTCTTCTTCTTGCCTTAACTCTGTCCGCCCTGTCAGCTTTCATCCGCAAAAAAGTTGGTTTAGAATAAACTAAATCATCTCCATTTCTCTGTGAAAATAAAAAAGCAGGGAAAGTTACATAGAAATTTGCAAAGTTAAAATGAACATAGCTGATGTTATGTATATTAAAGTCCTTTGCTTTAATTCGTACCTGTTGATTTTGTTGTCCACAAACTGTTGTATAATTTCTTTCTAGATTCTCTGACTCTGTAAGTAATATAACAAATTAATAGCGGGTTTAAAATTGGTTTAATTTTGTGCATAAATGATAAAAAGAAGCAACTGAATTTTTAGGAAGTATAAAATCAATAAGTGACAACTCTTACCTTTGCAAAAATTACAGGATTTTTTCCTGATAATACAGACTAATAGTGCTGTAACGATCACCATCAAAGGCAAAATGACACTAAGAAGGAGAAGAGAGTTGTTCCTCCGTGAATAAGTATTACTAATATCTGTGAAATGAAAGAGAAGAGTCAATACCAAATAAGTAAAAAAAAAATGTTTTAATGTTTCTAATGTGTTGTAGGAACATGATATAACCTTGAAACTCCAGTTTTGTCCCATTTCCAAAAACAACCCTACCACATGCAGCCAAAGCACAATAATACGTTCCAGTATCCAAGAAGCTGATGTTGTCTTTGACAAAACTAAAGACACAACTCTGCCCAGACTGAGGATCAGGATTATGTTCACATTTACCCTCAACCTCCTTTTGAGCATAAATTAAACTTGGACGTTTCTCTACTGAGGAGAATCTTAACCAGAACACCCTGCTCTCCTCTGGACATGTTTTCTTTTCTGACTGGGCGAAAATTGAACACTGCAAATTTACAGAATCACCTTCATGAACTGTATCAGACAGAGAGTCTTGAATAACAGCAGTATAATCAGGCTTTGGTCCTGGAGAGGAAAAAGCAGAAATTAAAAACATTATTTTGAAAAAACAGAACAATTTGTTTTTGCTTGATAATAATAATAATAAAAGCAAAACAACAACGGTGTTTTCAATTCCTTTGAAGAATAGTTAGAAGTTGTTACAATGATTACCTTTTATTCTGAGAAATGTTCCATTCAAGAAAGTTGCGTTGAGTCGTTTTGACTTTAAACAAAAATAAAATGCGAGGTCACTCCGTATTGCTTTTGCAATATGTAGAACAAAACTGCCAGGTTCCTGCATTGTTGAAATGCGAGAATTTATATTTGAAGGATCATAATCGAAGGTAAAGGTTTTGCCCAAAACTTCAGGCATGTTTCCAGGGACTAATTTTATCCAAAAGAGTGATCCCTCATTTTCTAATCTATTTCGTTTACAAGACAGTGTCACATTTTCTCCAACAGCAACAGTTATCACGTTTAGGTTCACAGCATCTGCAAATCATGAACACATTCACATTAATAATGAAAAATATGAAACTTTACTATACTATAAAAGAACAAGATTTGATTAACTTTGAACCCGTACTTACAGCAAACATGGAGGATCAGCAGTGTATAATATAATGCCAACATTTCGAGGGTTCTCTTCAACTCAACACTGAAATTAATTTGATCTCTCAAAAGGTCAAAACCTTAATTCTGTAATATCAAATGGGAGGGAACAATTTCTGAGAGTTATGATTGGCTCATTCAAATATTGCTTTCTGAGATTACTACCCCAGTGGAAAGCGGGTTACACAAACTTTCCAGTTCGAACGTTAGACAAGAGCTGTTATTATCAGGTGGTAGTAAGTTTTGGTCCCATGTGTTAACCTAAAAAGAGTTAGGTGTATTATGAATAACAGATCTATTTCAAATAAATCTGTCTGCGTAAACAATATATACCACAGAAGTAAAATAAAAACTAAACATGCCAGCTTAAACATGACGCATGACAAGTAAAACGCTGTTATCATTTGGTGGTGGTGAGTTTTGGTGCTTTTGTCAGAACCCAAAAAAACAAACGGCATTGAAAAACTTAGGCTAACAATAGAACCATTGATTCTTGGCACACCTTTATGATCGGCAGTAAAAGGTTTTTGATCAATTCTGAAAATACAAAGTTCTGTTTAACATTTTTAGAAGTCTTTATAGAGCTTAAAAAAGTTAACCAGTGGATTTATATTTATTTTGCTCAGTTTGTTGAAGGATCTTGTGGTGTCTGAAGAAACATTTTTGTATTTTCTGAAGTTGGAGCTGATCAGTTCCAATGCACAGCAGGTGCACAGCAGCAAAGTATCTACAGTATTTATGTTTGTGAAGACAGTTTTCTATATTAATATGTAACAGAGGCAAGTTTTTCTTTGAAGATTACTTTTCATTTTTTTTATTATATCAGATTTACTATATTCCTCATGTACATAAATGATCAGACTTGCGGAATTGCAAAAAACGTACATCAGTCTCAATCCAATGACCAATGCAGGATGCAAAAAAAAAACAAAAAAACAGCTGTTTTAATCCAGTGGATTGGAAAATTAGCTCTTAGAAACATATAAACTAGGGCTGGGCGATAATTCAATAACGATATATATCGATCGATAGACGTGTGGCGCAATAGAAAAAAAAGAGGGTTGATAAAAGTTCGATAAAAAAGAAACACAGTTTTCCTTCCTTCTCATTGTAGCCTAGCATGTAGGTTTATGCTAGTCACTGCTTCCTCCCAACCAATCACAATCGCGGACCCAGGCACGCCGTCACAAAGCGCCGCCCTCTCAAACCACAACACAGAGCACATGAAGATGTCGCAGCAAGGAGAGTCGGAGGAAATTGTTCCAAAGAAGGGTCTTTGTAGATCGCCAGTCTGGCAGTATTTCGGTCATGGCAAGTCGGACAAAAAACAAACCACAGTCATCTGTAAAATGAGTAGGGAACCAGTGAAAACGAAGTCTAATAACCCAACCAACTTTTTTTTTTATCATCTCAGCCGCTCACACCCGCTGGAGTACGAGCTGTGTAGGCCACGACGCGGCTCTCCTCCGAGGAATCTTCCTGAATTTCGGGAAAATATATATATATTTTCAGTTCTGGGCAGTTTCCCACGTAGTTCTAACAATTGAGAGAAAAATGCTGAGGGGCCAGAAACTTCAAAGTAAGAACTCAGGTTAAAGCAGGAAACTAAGCTGAACCAGGTTCAGCTTAGAAGAATGGGGGCGGCGGCGGGGGCGAAGGGGCATTTATTTATTTGTTATATTTATTTTGGTCACTTTTCTGGTCACTTTAGTTTATTCTTTGTCAGTATTTAATAACATAACCCAGGTCTCTTAAGTTATTTTTCTTTAAAACAATTCTGTTATGGTTAAAAAAGTTGGTTAAATAAAGATTTAATTCGAAGTCTGTGTTTGTGTTTTTTATTAAAATAAAATCATTTAGCAATATTATAAAAAGTTCAGGCAGAGCTGCACATAAAATATGGTTTCAAATCTTTTCAATAATTATCGATATCGATCAATATGCATTTTTTTTTATATATAAGCTTTTTTTCTATATCGCCAAGCCCTAATATAAACTTATATAAACATTATTATACTGTCCCAACAGAGGTCTAAATTGTCAAGGCTCAGAACAGAGCACCCAGAATTCAAAGCAAAGAGGCAGGCGGACTTCTCAAAAGAGTTTATTGAGAAATGTTGAATCTGCAATTCAGCAGCTAGGGCATCTAAGGCCTAAATCTCTGTGGAGGGAAGACTCAGATTATTGACACCGTAAGTAAATCTGACGGAGGATGATCATGAACGTGAGTCACAAACCTGTACAGAGGAAGGAGTGGAATCCAGTCAAATGGCTGCCAACAGTACATGGTGATCGCCGCCCACAGAGTTCCAGGAGTCAAAGCCTTGAAAGCAAAGGGAATTGCAGATTGAAGAATCCAGCAGGAATCCAAAGGCAGGTCAGGCAAACAGATTAGAACAGGAACAGGCTCAGAGCTCAGAAGACAAAACAGGTCAGGATCAGGTATGTTAGAAAACAATCAGGTATGTTAAAAAACTCTAACCAAAGGCTTGAATAATCTGGCACTGATGACCGGGAGCAAGCAGTATAAATAGAGATTAGAGCAGGTGACAGAGATGAACTGTGATTAGAAACTGGTGAAGCCAGACAGGTGAATGGAATGAACTATTAAGCCAGTCATCAGTGCCAAGATCATGACATCAATATGCTGATGAAGGTTCTCAGTCTTTTAGTCTCAGAATTTTTACGGAATGACATCAATAGAAATAAAAAATGGCAATAGGCTGTAACAGTTCAAACTAAATTTAACAAATGTACTTATAAAGGGTTAGAACTTTAACTGCTTTTGAAAAATAAATAAATTTAATTTGAATATTTTTAGCATGTCTTTTTTTGATATATCTGCTCTTCTGGACTTTTTGATTCTGTTCCAATTTAATTTTGGTTTTGCAGTGTTGTTTGGATTTTGATTGTCCTGTGTTGCTGTTAATATTTTTTAAATAATTTTTCAAATGACTTCTTAGTTAATTTTCCCTTGGTGTTAATGTTAGTTATCTCTTTTCAGCATTCCTGTTATTAATATAATTGGTCCTGTAGTTCTTCATGTATATGGTTTTCTGTTATCTCTAGATTATGGATTCCCATTGCAGATTTGTCATCTACAGTAAGTTCCTCCAGTACCTTCCCCATCCTCTACTTTTACCTTTTGGTCATTCTTTGTTTCTTAGTCATTTATTTCTTTTCCCTTTTGTGTCATATTAGTTCTTCCCACCCCTATTGTATTTCACTTGTTACTCTTTGTGTCCCTATCCTTTCCCATCAGCTATATTATAGCTACTTATGTCCACACCTTCTGCCCATTAGCTGATTACTCCAACCATTGTTCTCTCTGCCATATATATATATATATACTCCACATCTGCATTTCCTCATTCTTTGATTCTCTTTATTCCTCATCTATGTTTCTCCCAAGCATTCCCTTGTTTCGGTTCCTGTGTTCCCTGCCTGTTATTTTGTGGATATATGCTTTTTTTTTTTTACCATCTACCTCTTCATTAAATTTGCAAGAAACCATCTCTGCCTCCAGACTCGGCATTTGGGTCCTCAGCAAACATCCACTAACCTTGACGGTAGAATCCAGCCACCATGGACCCAGAAGATCCCAGTGTGGAAGACTCAAGATCAACCTTTTTTCAAATCCAAAGAATGCTCTGGACACTCTCGGCACTCAACCCACCTCGGAGTAGGATGAGTCTAGCTGACCAAATAAAGGACATTCTACTACAAAACTGCACACTCTCTGCCACTCTAGAGGTATCTGGACTATTTGAAGAGTTGCTGGTGAAGGTTCCCAGTCATCCAGGTCATAGTCATCCCAAAAAAGAAAATTAAAAACATTCCACTGCACTTTGTTTCCAAATTTGAAGACGTTTCGCTTCCCTCCCAGAGAGCTTTTTTCACTTCAAAATGTCAGGAATAGATTTGAGTTTGAGGTTAAAGAAAATCGGTGGTTTGAAAGGGGCATGAAGGAAGGCATCTATGTTAAGAAAGAAAAAACAACCTTAAACAGAGGGGGACTCAGGTTACAGCTTTTAAAAAAACTACAATGCAGCAATTAAGTTAATCACTTCCCGTTATCATCGCAGCCCCACCCCCTGTACAGGAGAGCGGAGGCCTGGTGCAAACCTTGCTCATCTGCCAAATCAGGTCATTTCCCCCTGATTACCATGCAGTCTCAGCTTTCACCTTCATGACTCCCAGCTGTCACCACATATCAGGACTGTTAGACATCCTATTAGCCCCAGTCATTCTCATATAATCATATAATTTCCCCTGCATCTGAAGGCATCCTCCAACTCCAAAAGCCCCCTGTGATCTAATCTATCCAGAGCCTGTAGCTCCCAATCAGCAAGCTATTCCATATCAAGCTACTGTATACCATATTTCCATATTCAATACTGTCCTATATTATGCATAGTATTTTTCTGACTTTTTTCACTCTGTGTGCCCTTATTATTATTTTTTTCTAATCTAGTAACCAGCATTAAAGTCCTTCTATACCACTTAGTGATTACAATAAAAAAAGGTCAAGCTGTATTATTACATTTTATTGGAATAAAAGGCCTACTACAATGAAATAATTAGAATGTTGGGGCATAGCAGAGGAGTTGTTCAGCTGTCTCTGCATATTTCTTTTGACAAGATAAAATTACATACACAGATATTTCTTTTACTGCGTGTTTCCTGGCATTAAAAATATACTTTAAAAAAACAAGCAAAAAAAAAAACAACACAAACTAGAGAAAGAACCTCAAGTTTTTGTGGTTTGAGCAGATTTACACTCTTATATTTTCCCTAAGTAACCAAGGGTCAAAGCTCTAGTGTTTAGTTTAGCAATATATCTTATAAAACTACAATATTTAGGTAAAAGGCATAGAATGAATTAGATATACAGACAATATACACAGAGTTTGAGATAACTGCACATATTTATTTCCTTCTTTACGTTTTCCCACAAGGGGACAATATAGGATTATTCTATAACATTCTAAAATATTACTCAAATCAATGGCATCAAATGCAAGATTATGTGAAGCTTTAAGGGTAAGCAAGGCAAAAATTATCTAAGTCATGAATCCAGCATTTTTAAGCCTAGTCGTTATCAAAGGCCCTGACATCACTGTAGATGGTGCCTTCCCTTCCTCTTGCCTGTATTCTGCCGGCTCTGTCAGCTTTTCGTTGGGTAAAAACTGCTGTAGAATAAACTAAAGTGTCATCGTTTCTCTGAGGAGAAAAAAAATATTGGGAGATCTTAATACACCAAAATAAAAATGTTAGACAACAACAGTTCAGCTGAAAAAGTTTACCCCTTTCTCTGAATTTCTCACCTGGATAGTTTGCTGTTGTCCAAAAACTTCACTTGCATCTATTTCTGCAGACTTGCACCCTGCAAACAATTTAACAAACTAAAATTGAGCTTCAGTGGTTTTCCTTTTGTTTATAATACCTAAATCAATTGATGAAATGCTTATGAAACAAAAAATCAATGAGTATCTACTCTTACCTTTGCAAAACTTACAGCATTTTGTCTTGATTGAGAAAAGTACTGCTGTAACAATCACCATCAAAGCTAAAGTGACACAACACAGCAGGAGAAGAGAGTTGTTTCTTTGTAAATGAAGAATGCGGATATCTGAAACATGAAAGATAAAGAGTCAATATTAACCCCATTGAAATATGGTGTAATATTGCTACTGTAGAACAGAAACGTATGATGAAATCACCTTCAAACTCCAGTTTTGTCCCATTTCCAAAAACAACCCTACCACATGCAGCCACAGCACAATAATACGTTCCAGTATCTAAGAAGCTGATGTTGTCTTTGACAAAACTAAAGACACAACTCTGCCCAGACTGAGTATCACGATTATGTTCACTTTTACCCTCAAACTCCTTCTGAGCATAAATTAAACTTGGACGTGTCGCCCCTGAGGAGAATCGTAACCAGAACACCCTGCTCTCCTCTGGACATGTTTTCTTTTCTGAAAAAATTGAACACTGCAGATTTAAAGAATCCCCTTCATGAACTGTATCAGATAGAGAGTCTTGAATAATTGCAGTATAATCAGGTTCTGACCCTGGAGAAGAAAAGACAAAATAAAAAAAATTCAAGTTTGAAGAAAAACAACTGGATTTTTTCTACTTGATAATAATTGATAAAAACAAATCAACTGTGTTTTCAAACAGTTTCAATTTTTTAACCTTTTATTCTGAGAAATGTTCCATTCAAGAAAGTTGCGTTGAGTCGTTTTGACTTTAAACATAAATAAAATGCCATGTCACTTTGTATTGCTTTTGCAATATGAAGAACAAAACTGCCAGGTTCCTGTTTTGTTGAAATGCGAGAATTGCTATTAACAAGATCTAAATCGAAGGTAAGTGTTTTGCCCAAAACTTCAGGCATGTTTCCGGGGACTAATTTTATCCAAAAGAGGTATCCATTACTTTCTAATCTATTTCGTTTGCAAGACAGAGTCACATTTTCTCCAACAGCAACAGTTATCACATTTAGGTTCACAGCATCTGCAAATTAAGAAAACATTTACAGAAATAATGATAAATATAAAACATGATACACATTTTTTCATAATATAAAAAGACCATATTTGATGAACTCTGAAAACGTACTTACAACAAACATGGAGCATCAGCAGTGTATAATATAATGCAAACATTTTTAAGGGTTCTCTTCAACTCACTACTGAAATTTATTTGCTTTCTCTAAAGCACAGATTCCTAATTCGGTAATATCAAATGGGAGGGAACAATTTCTGAGAGTTATGATTGGCTCATTCAAATATCGCCCTCTGACATTCTTACCCCAGTGGAAAGCAGGTTACCAGAACTTTCCAGCTTAAACGTGAGAAAAGAGCTGTTATTATCAGGCGGGGGTATGTTTTAGCCCCCTGTGTTAGCCTGAAAATTGGTTAGCTGGATTATGAAACCTGCAGGAGCAATAAATCAGTTTCAAATAAATCTGTCTGTGTAGACAATACAAACTGCAGAAACAAAATAAAAAATTTACAGCTTAAACATGAGACTTCAACAGTAAAGGACTTTTATCATCTGGTGGCAATGAGTTTCGATGCCTTTGTCAGAACCCCCCAAAAAAGAAAAGTGTAAAAAAAAACTTAACTTAGACAAACTTTATTGTCATTTTGTATACACAGAGTGTATATAAAATGAAATTTAATTTTGTAAAGCTCTAATGATAATTCCATTTCTCAAAGTGCAGCAGTGGTCTAATGTAAACATACTGTAGGAAGAAAAAACATGGTGCAAAAAAAAACCAAAAAAAAACCCCGCATGGATGCTTGCCTAGTTTGTTAAAGGATCCAGTGGTTTCTGAAGAACCCTTTTTTTGTAAATGTGTTCAGTTACCAGAAGCATGATTTTCTCTGGAGATTACTTTACATTTTATGATAAAATAATTATATTTTTCATTTACATCCTTCCATTTTTTCCATCACGTTTATCCTGGGCTGCACGGTGGAACAGTTTGTAGTACTGTTGCCTAGCAGCAAGAAAGTTCTGGGTTTGATTCCCAGCCCAGGGTCTTCCCACATGAAATTTGCATGTTCTCCCCATGCATGCATAGTTCTCTCTGGGTACTCCGGCTTCCTTCCAAGGTCCAAACAGATTAATTGGTATCTCTAAATGGTCTGCATGTGTGTGTGCACAAGGATGTATGTATCTGTGTTGCCCCACAACAGACTGGTGACTTGTTCAGGTTGTACCCCACTGCTTACCCATAGGCTTCCAGGAACAGTACAGGCACCAATCCCAATGCGACCCTGACAGATAAAGCAGGAGAGGTTGGATGGTATGCAAAGCTGCACTCTTCTTCATAAACATTGAGCTTTTACTCAGTTGCAATGCATCGTACAGTAAGCACAGGAGAGTTATTTAGATAACACTCTTCTAAAGCATTATTTTGATTTTAATTATATACACATAGCCTCTCAGATTAGGGTGAGTTCCTTGGATTACACAGCTAGTCACTGCGCAAAAGAAGAGAATATTTAATTTCAGTCATATTCATAATCCTGATGTGCTAACTGCACAGAAGACATTTTAGGGCTGAACTTTGTTGCTTAAAACATTTTGTAACTACTTTTGTACTCATTAAAGGGAATAAAGTCAAGCCACTCTCTGGACCACAAGGTAAAGGGGCAGAGCAGCTCAACCCAGAGATTGCTGAGCTTCCAGTGTGTTAACTATTTTTAAGGTTGAGTGTCCAGAGCATCGAATATCTGACTTCATAATGCACACGTGTCCAAGGTGCTGGACATCTTTGTGACACTCTGAAACCTTCTATTGACAGTAAGATTTTTCAGATAATCTTACAAAAACTATGTGACTGTTAAAAAGCCAGAAAAGTGACTTATTCAGTTTTTGAAGCAATTGTATGAAACTTTTACTAACACAGACTGTTCCTGAATGTTTTAATAAGAACAGTACAGTGATATTTTTTTATTGCAATAAACCATGCCACAAAAAATGTTTTTAGGAATTACATTGTGTGGGCTAGAACAAAAAATACTAATAATTTGTAGTTTTACAACATTTTTCTATTTTTTTATTTTGG